ATGGCAAAAGAAAAGCCAAATACCAATTATGTACTGAAAAAGAAACATACCTTATCCTAAATAAAGGTTGCACTACTAGTCTACGTAGTTATATTACCAATGCTCATTATATCAATATTGCCGAGGCTATTAGTTTTGGAAACTTTCCAGTTGTTCCTCAGTCTAGTGAAAATATTCTTAGACAAGTATTGGTTAAGTGGATCACAACGAATAGCTTTCCTTTTACCACCGTTAAATCAAAAAGTTTTCAGGAGTTAGTTGATATAATTAAAAAGTTAGATGATAATGTCACAATTCTCTCCACAAGGACAGTTAAGCGGGATTTGTTAGGCAAATCTTAGAACTAAAGGCTACTCTAAAAGATACACTAATAAATAACACAAACAAGATTTCTTTAACTACTAACATGTGGACAAGCAATTCTTGTAAAGCTTTTCTGAGCATCACAGTATATTATATCAATGAAAATTGGGAGGTTAAGTTACAAGTTCTCAATCTTGTATCTTTCGATAGAGCGCATACTGGAATAAACATAGCAAATACTTTATTTAGTATTTGTAATGATTTCGGTATAAATAATAAAATTTTGGGGATAACCGTTGATAATGCTTCAAGTAATAATATATTACTTGAAGTATTTGAATTTCAGTATAATAATAATGGTGGCTCATTTACTAAACAAGAAGATTATATCTGTTGCATAGCTTATATAATTAACCTTGCTTTACAAGGTTTTTAAGCCATCTCCATTTGGAAGCACCAGACTGAGATGAAAATGAAATTCATATCTTGGACCAACCCACTACCTTCCAAACTTCAACTATCAAAAAACTTCAAAAACTTATCACCAAACTTCAGGCGTTACCTCAGCAATGTCAAAGATTAAATAATTTATGTTCATCTCTCCAAGTACAATTTAAAGCTCTAATTCTCGATTCCAAAACTCAATAGAATTCGATACTCAGCATGATTAAACGAGCTATTGACATGGTACCAGTAATTGATAGAATGGTTGAAGAAATTCAAGAGTTAAATGAATTAGATTAGTGTTATCAATTATTTAGTTAAATGTTTTTTTAAAAAACTAATTAATATAAAATAACTAATCGATTAATCTATTTTCAATTCACATTACTAAATTAGATCTTTTGTCAAGAGATTAGAAAATGCTTGAAAAAATAATTTTGCCTTTAAAAGCTTTTTGCGATATCTTTGAAGACTTGTGCAGTGAATCATATGTGACAATACCTCTTGCCATACCAGCCTTTAACCTAATTATGGATAATCTTGAAGATTTGCAAGTAGCATGTTTATCTATGATTATTAATGAGGCTATTGATGTAGCTTTTAATAAATTAAAGACCTATTATGTTAAATATAAAAATCCAATATATGCGATAATAACTTTATTGAATCCAAGGATAAAAAAAAAATATTATGAAGTAGAAAAGTAGGATAAGAAATAGTTTAATTAGGCAATTAGATGCTTAAATAATGCATATAACAAATATAAGAATATTCATATAGTTAGTAATATTTCTGGTAGCTATTTTAGCTATGTTTTTGAGAAACTTTATGAATCTTTAAATGAGATAAATGAGGTTGATCTGTATTTAAACAGTCTTATAGAACATGGTAATATAGACATATATCAGTAGTGGAAAATACATGCAAAATAATTTTCAAATTTGGCTTGTGTGGTATATGATTACCTCACTGCACTAGCAACAAGTATGCTATCTGAAAGGCTATTCTCTAAAGATTCAAATATAGATACTGCAAAACATGGATCCTTAAATCCAGAAACAATACAAAAATCTATTGCATTTTGTGACTGGATAAATTAAAAAAACTGTTGTATAGTTTAGTTACATATATATATATAAAGTTTTTTGATCAATAAAAAAATTTTGTTTGAATTATGGAATTATATATATTTTTAATAATAAATATGTTTAATTAATATGCTTTATTTGCTTGCAATTAAATAAATACTGAATGTAATTTAAAACTGTGCTTTATTTATATATTTATAAAAATTAAAAATTGAACTTTTTGAATATTAATATTGGAGTGGCATCAATAGAAAATCAGGATTGAGTCTCTAATGCTAACCTATCAACTACTAACATCAGTCCTAACCCATCAAATACTCTTTACTCAATAAATCAGAATCCTTTTTTATTTCGCTCCTGGTCACACCTATACTATTTAGATAAAATCAAAATTTGACTTGTCTATCAAATTGTTTTTTTTTGTTCTTTGCTGTGCTAATACCATTTAATAACAGAATCCAAATCTATTTTTCTATTCGGGTTGCCACCTTCAGCTAATCACAAATACTGCTTCAATGCTTTTTTTTATCCCTAGCTATTCCTATTACCTTCAGGTTTCAAAACCACTCAAATACCTTTTTTTCATCATTAACCATGCCTATACCATATTGATTGCAGTAAGGTCCAAGATTGTGTTGTCTATTCAAATTGTTGTCTTTAGCAGGTTTTAAAACTACTCAAATGTCTTTTTTCATCATTGACTGTGTCTATGCCATGTTGATTGCATAACGTTCAAGATTATGTTGCCTATTCGAATTGTTAGCTTCAGCAGGTTTCAAAACCACTCAATCATCTTTTTTTCATCATTGACTATGCCTATACTACATTGGTTTAAATAAGGTTTGCAAAGTATGAAGAGAGAAAGAAAATTAGTTAAAGAACTGAAAAAAAAAAAAATAGAGACTAGTACTTCTATTATACCAGCCTTGATACTCCTCTAAGTCAAAATCATCATTTTTAGTTAATTAAAATCTAAAAAGAAAAAAAATAGTATTAGCAACATGTCAATAAAAACTAGAATCTGAAAGAAAAGTCAAAAATCTATTATCAAAAGAATTGAAACCTGATACTTTGTATATCCAA